TACATATTATGCGTGCATTCTTTTATTCTCTTTTGTTATAATAAAGCCAAGAGCCCGATTCCTGGCTACTGCTTAAGCTAGAACAGTATAAGTTACTATTTCATACTTTCATAAGTTACGATCGTTACAGGCCACTACCCTACTAGTTTTGCGATTATTTCTTTAATTTCCTTAATGTGTAAGAGGTGGAGGAAGTGATTAGGAAGTTTTGGGGTAGTGTGATATTTTCATAGACTACGGTCTGCATATATACAATTAATGAATTAAACAAAAAAAAAAAAAAAAAGAAAAGCTCAAGTTCTCCGAGTGATGCCCTATGACTCGAAAGCTCCGTAAAAAATGCCCGCGCTGTGACACTGCCCTAGTGCCCAATTGGCTCTGCTTTGCCCTATGGTGACTGTAAATCTGACGCCTTGTTTTGTCGCCCAATCATTAACTTACGCTGTCTGACGGTGTGACCTTGGCATATGTATGTGAAAGCCTCAAACAACACTTAGCATTTAGTGATAGTCAATTGTTGAGAGGAGTTTCGATGTGACCTTTCTACTAAAAGAATACTCATAATGTGGATTAGAGGGTAATATGTGCAATTTCCTCTCACTTGATTATTGAAATGTCTTTCCTAACATGCTATGATATATATCTAATAAGTATATAATTATAACCTGCATATGCATGTGCATTTAAAAGCTTCTGATTGGCTCATTGAGAGAGCTTTTGTTTCACTTGAAACATTTTGTCGGATATGAACATAGGGTATTGTGCTGAGTGGTGTTAGATTGTTAGTAGGTTATCTACTGGTTCTGGGAATCGATTAGTAGTTCGATTTTAGCGGCTTGGTGGGTATTAAAGGGATACTTGCAGGCGCTTGAACTGTGACCTATCCACTGATATATGGGGGGTATCACTGATCAGAAAGGCACATATCGACCAGAGCAGATATAGTGATGGACTTTGCCTGCCAGGAGGGGTCGAGCCCCGACTGACAGGCAAATAGAGAAAATAAGCCGCAAAGCGGCTTGCCTGTATATTGGACTGATTGATATACATATAGTACTGGGCGAAGGCCGGAAATGGGTCACATGAATGTGACTGTTCGAGTGATCGATTATGATTCTGAGGTTTGACAGGCTTTATACATGTATGTAAATACATTGTACATGTAACCACCAGTAAATATGTCGGTCAGTGTATCTGTGTTAAAATGTATTCCTTTACACAAATCACGGCCGTTTATATGCATTTATAAATTCTGGTTTAACGAAAGCTTATTACTGTCAGAAACGGAGTAGACAAAAAATAAGCGGCAGTAATGTATACAGCGAAAGCTTGCTATAACGGTACCTTCTATAAGGGTAATCTCTCTATAACGGTAGCACTTCACGGTCTTTTTTGCCCGGATTTCAGCACAATCACCTCTTATATAAGGGTAATCTCTCTATAACGGTACCAAATTCCGGTCCCGAGCGTACCGTTATAGCAAGCTTTCGCTGTAGTACATACCACATGGGGCTAGTATTAGCTGAAAGAGGGAAGTTGCAAATTTGACAGGGATACCTTGTTTTCTAACATCGCTAATAATATTTTTTTATGATAATGCTTACCGGCGCTACGTTAATCCCCTAGGATTTTACAGGAATAGGCAGCACACTACCAAAAACGATTGTTTTTACCTTGTTTGGGCATCCGTTAACGTTTACTTTTTCTCCCGCAAAACTGTTAAGTACTTAACTCTATCCGCAAGCCTTCTTCCCAACGATACAACCATGATGAATCCGCACCACACAGCGCCTATCTCAGCGACCTTTACGTTTGCTCATCCCGCAACTGGAACTCCCAAACAGCGATATGCGCTTCATACACTGCGTATTCAAGGGCGAAACAATAGTGTTGAAATAATTACTATCGTCACCAGTATTACCGGCGTTCTAATCGCGGCTTTCACCCTTACATTCATGGGCTACAAACACTGGAGAAAAACCAAGCGAGATGTGAGCCTATGGTCCTGGTTAGTATACCCTATGCCCTATTTTACAAACTAACAATGATCCAGGCATTACCTACCACTGCAATTCACTATGCGTGCTCATGTCCACACATACCGACGATAGATTCCAATGATGTTTTCTACATCTATTTAATCCTCATGTATATCGCATCTACGCCGTGCCGCACTTATCGCCCCACGCTCCACCCTCCAAGACCCGGATTCGGGTTGAGCAGAGATCTAGAGAGCGATCTTGAATTAGTTTAGCAACATTCGCGTTGTGCGTTGTGGCCCTGAACTACTTTTGTAACTGAATTTAAGCGACCAACCGAGCATTGAAGCAACCTGAGCGAGCACCTTTCATTTTCATTTCGTATGTCTACACATAGTAAATCTACTAATTTCTCTTTTGTTTTCATACATACATGTACAATCAATACATATTTTACAGTTCATCTAAATCTAGAGGCTAAGATAATAACAAGTTCGTTACTTCAGGACCCGTAAACCGTCTAAAATCCCAAGTCGCGTTGGTGTGTTTTATTCTCGAGTGATTCTCCATGACTTGGAACATCTGTACAAATGCTCATACCCCCGCTGGATCATGGATGATTTCGTGCCCAGCTGGCTTCGCCCCGTGTTCCTGCACACTTGTAATCGACTCAGTACGTAGCAATTTCTTTTGACGCCTCGTTCAACCGATCACCAATCACAACTTGCACTAGAGGCTTCGGGTCTAACACTGCCACCTACAGTATGTGCATTCGAAAACCACCCTCATAATGTAGACTTATTCTCCTGAAGATTCTTTATCAATCTACGGCCTCTAGTTTATCTTCCCCCGTGATTAAGAAGATATACCTATATATATATATAATCTTCACGCTCCTTATACAGCATTTCTCCCCATATTAATTTCCGAGCTCGCGCGAGGCTAAGGTGCTGAATCCCGCCTGAATCAATCTCCCGTCAATCATTCGTCTGGATCTGCTGTGGCCTTTTGCCCCACGAAAAAAGGGCCAGTACCTGGACGAAAAACGGCCTGCTGTCCGCAAACCCTGCAAGCAGCATTCTTGTCTATTATGTAGGTATCGCCTTATTGAGAAGTCAGCTCCATGTGGTAGTACGGTACGTCCCATCATCGATCTTCTCTTCTTATATCCATATCGGCCTTGTTAAATCCTGGTTCCCCATACCCGTGGGGAAAGCTTGCAAAGAGTAAATCTACCATACCACCTATAGCTACAATACGTATTGTATATTAGAACTAGTGCTCTCTACCAATGGGTCCCGCGCCGACCGCTACGACCTTTACGTTCCCGAATTCACGCCCCACAAACTCCATGCCCGAGCAGAGCAAAATATAACTGTCGACGTGCTCACCGTTGCCACCAGTACTATAGGCATACTCGTCGGAGTAATCCAAGGGTACAAGTTTTTTGGAAGCGCCGTCAGAAAAAAATATGTTTGTTCCCGATGCCCTATGCCCTACATGCACTTTTGTCAACTGCTTAGTCATTAATGCAACTTCCTACCACCGCCGCGAGGAATGTCAATGATACAGCCTACGTCTTTATTGTTCTCATGTATGTTGCGTCTAAGCCGACCCCACGTCCTTAGGCCAACGATCGAGGGGGTCGAGATAGAGCGGGGGGTATGGTAGATACGCAAGGTCTTGAGGTAGGTATCGCATCCGTGACATGTGTTCTGGCGTCGGCCACTGGCAGTAAGTTGGAGTCTTGGTTCATTAGTATCCATCAGTGCAGTATATATATATTCTTGTAAGAGATAACTAACCGATTCGATTGGTTTCTGTAGACTTATAAGTGGTGGTTGATTGATTGGTTGTTGTGGATTGAAGATGCGGATCAGTTCCCTTCGTCCGATGTACCATGATTACAGACCTATCTGAGGACACGGTTTGAGCCACGCGTTAAAAAGACAAGCGTACTGTATTATAGACGGATTACGGGGTCGCTTAAGCACATGTATAGAGCTACCGAGAATGTTTTTCTTGAATACAGTCATCATATCATACTCGTGCTTAAAAGGTACTCTTACAGCCAGCTAGCCTAGCCTTTCTTTTAACAAAATCAAAAGTCAGTTGTTCCTTCTCTCATGTCCGGATGTAACCCCTTGTATTTCCAGATTGTACCGAATCAAAGAAGCCACCTTTATAGGTTCTTCACACCGAGTGATTCCTTATGACGCTTGTTTCCGTAAATATCAACGCCAGAGGCAGTGTTACGTAGCCATCCACACATCTGTACTCCTTTTTTTTTTACTACTGACTAGACGGTATGGCGTAGGCACCGGTCGCTATAAAAAAAAAAGAGATTGAGTGACAGGAGAAGGACAAGCGAGGACATGTCATAACGGGAACAGTGGTCACAGCTACATGTCGTTAGCCTTCACTTTGTATCTTTCTTTCGTCTCTTCTAGACCCTCTCTTCATGTATCATCAATCATACCCTGAGGTTCGAGCCTTCTATTGTGACCGAGCCTGAACCATATGACGTGATTCGCGTAGGATGTAAAATCTCTGCCGAACTCCTATTTCGCTACAAAACGGCAGCCTTTTGTAGATAACTAAGGTGGAGCTAGGCAACGAGTTAACTCCTGAATTCCTTGCACAATATAAATCTTACTCCCGAGCGGATATTACATGACTTAATTTTTTCCTCCTCCTCCGTGCTCACTGCATGATCGATAAGCACCGCCGCTGCTGCGACTTATACTCTTACTTTGTTCTATGGTTTTATACTGTCTGCTTGGAAATGGTTGTACATCTACTGTCGCTGCGAATGTTTTGTGAGTGGGCGGGGCACCCGTCTTGGAAACGCCTCGACGCATAATTACCGAGTGATATTTCATGAGGCTGCTCTACCATCTCTTAAAGCGGAAAAGCCAGACACCCAATGACATGAGGATAGCCATCCTCTTTTATTCCCTATTTCCCCTATTCCCCTAAAGACTACAAGTAGGAAAAAAAAGACATTAGACCCCCTACCCCCTAATCCTCATCCTCCTCATCACTAACCGCCACCACCTTCCCCCTCCCCCGTCTCCCCATCCCACCCCTCCTCTCATTCTTCACCGCCACCCCCCCCTCATCCGCATCCGCATCCACATCCACCATCCCCTCATCCTCGCTATCCCCCCCCCCATCCTCATGCTCCTCCGCCCTATCCCTCGCCCTCGCCGCCGCACTCCTCACCTTCCTCTGCAGCAGCGCATCCAGCCGCACCGTCGCCAGGCTCAGCATCTTCGAGCACCCCGGCACGGGGCAGCTCACGCCCGCCCGCGGCCCCTTGCGGATGTAGTCCTGGATGGCGTCGCGCTCAAACGAGTGCGGGCACACGGTCGACGTGTACGGCTCGACAAACGTCCGCAGCGTCAGCGGGCACTGGTACGACTGCCGCTCCTGCGCAATCTCAATGTCCGAGTCGGAGTCCTCCGAGTCTGGGGCGTGCGACGGCCTGCTGCTGCTGCTGCGCCCGCCGCCGCCGCTGCCGCCCTCGAGGTGCCGGAACCAGGTGGATACTTTGGGCATGTTTGCGTCGCCGCGCTGCGAGGCCCACACCATGCGCCGGAACTGGACGTATTCGGCGACGGTGCCGTATCTGCGGTGCCAATCCAATGTCAGCCACCTGGCACCCTCTGTATTAGTTGGCCCGCGGGGCGCGGGGGGGGGGGGGGGGGTATACTTTGCCCTCATACTGAGCCCATCGTAATGGACGCTCCTCTCAGCCATCCTCTTCCGAAACCCGCCCACCACGCCCTCATCCTCGCCCACCACCACCGCGTCCAGCCCCACCTCCTCCGCGCCCCTCCGCGCCTCCTCCCTCCCGTCGCGCGCGTCGCGCACGGCGAGCCCCAGCACCTCCTTCAGGTCGCCCGCAACCTTGGCCTGGTCGACCAGCGCGCGCGCCTGGGCCTCGAGCTCGTCGAGCAGCGCCTGGCGCGCCTCCGTGTCGCTGTCGATGTCGGCGGCGGCGTCGGCGGCGGGGACGTGGTCTGCGAGGTCGGCGGCGGTCTCGCTGAGCCGGTTGAGGGCTTGCGTGGTGGCGTGGCAGAGCTTGTCGATGGAGGTGGGGCGGCCGTGGTTCTCGGAGAGGGCGGTGAGCGTTTGCAGGGCGGCGGGGGTGATGGGGGTGAAGGGGGGCTCGTAAGCGGGGAGGGGGGTCACGGTGGTGGCGGTGGAGGAGGAGGAGGAGGCGGAGGGGGCGGAGGGGGCGGCGAGGGAGCGTCGGTGTGACATAGTTGGGTGGGTGCGTTTGTTGGCGGTGGTGAGGAGTGAGGAGTGAGGGTTGGGGTGAAGATGGCGGGAGACGCGTTTGGGGATGGCAACCGAGAGCGATAGCTGCTAGTTATATCAAATACCCAACACCCAACACCACCACCAACACCACCAACATCCAACCCACCACCCACAATGCCCCTAACCCTCCTCTCCTTCCACCACTTCCACTCCCCCCTCAAGCTCTCCGCCCTCCACACACTAACACGCACCCACACCGGCCCCACCAGCGGCCTCTACCTACAAGGGCGTCCGGGCGCCCTCCTCATCTCCTCGCCCTCCGTGCCGGCGCTCCACGCCTACGTCAGGGCCGTGAAACGCATGCGCTGGCAGCGCGTGCACAACCTCGGCACGAGCGAGGACCAAGACCACCTGCTGCGCCTGCCGCCGGGCGCGCTGGTAAGGGTGGGCGAGATGCGCGGGCTGGTGGGCGCCGCGGGGGAGCATGGTGGCGTGGGGGCGGGGGAGTGGGTGAGGGGGGCGGTGAGGCGGGGGTTTGGGGGTGCGGGTGGGTTGAGGTGATGGTGGGTGGGGTGGGGGTGAGCGGTTATGCATGTGCGTAGGGAGTGTAGAGATCGAGGTAATTGAACGATATATATGCGCCCAATAGTTATTTCGTAGAACGGGTAGTAATGATCTTACCCATTGTAGGCGTGGTTCGTAGTCCACCGCGTGGAGCGGCTCCTATAGAGGGATCATGGCCATGGGCTACGGTTCACCTCCAGAGTGATGGATGCACCATGATGGATCCGGACTATACATCAACCACGGTACGTACGGATCGGATCATGGTTCATGGTTCGCACCGAACCACAACTCATGAACCAACCACCGAACCTCCCCCCCCCCCCGCCCCCGGTCCTGGAAGCTCTACTCTAAATAGCCATATGACGGAACCAAGACACTTTATTTATTACCCCTAACTACATCCTCTAACTCATAAACATTTTTTTTTCACCCCCCCCCCCCCAAACCAACCGCCGCCCCTCAACACCCCGCAGGATTATCACAGACAAAAAGTAAAAAGTAATACTGACACTACCCCATTCGCCCCCCCAGACCCAGACCCAGATAGGTAGTACTTGGGTAGTAGGTTATAGGTAGAGCAGCCACACACACACACACAACGCGCCGGCCTTTAATCGGTAGAAGCAGTGACAGACGGTAACAGTAGAAGAAGCAACACTACATGTAGAACAGTGCCTGGGAGGTAACAGATACCCAACGATAGCAGTGTAAAAAAAAAGCGTGAAAAGTAACAACTGGAAAAAAAAAAAAAAAAGAGTAAAAAAAGTAAAAAAGTAAAAAAGTAACAACTAGAAGGTCGAAAGAGTAAAAAAAAAAAAAAAAAAAAAAAAAAAAAAAGCGGCACACCAAGAAAAACCTACACAGAAAAGGAGACGAAACCTCCAAAGCCCACGCACACACACACACACACGTCCACTTTTATTCCCCTCTCTCTCACACAAAAAAGCACACCAACTACCTCCTACTCCTACCCGCATACCTCCCCCCCGGCACCGTCCCATTCTCCATACTCGCCTGCGTATGCTGCACGCCCATCCTCAACCCATCCACGCCCCTCTGCCCCTGCCCTCCTCCTCCCACCACCACTCCTCCCTGCACCGGACTCCCCCCATACGCCCCCCCATACCCCGCGCCAATCGCCGCCAGCCCCATCGGCGGCGGCACATTGACCCTCCTCGTCGGCGTCGCCGCCGGCATACTATGCGCATGGAACATCGGCTGTCCCACCCGACTCACGCCCGGACTCACCACTCTCGGCGGCGGCGGCGCATACGGGCTCGGGTAGTGGTGGGGCAGCGTGGCGGCGGGCATCTGGTGGCCATGGTACTGCTGCGGCGTGTAGTATGTCTGGACGTTTGGTGCGCCCTGGAGGCGCGGCGGCGGCACGTTGGTGCGCGCCATCATGGCGATGGGCGCGGGGGAGGACGAGGACGGGGACATGCCGACTGCGGCGTTGAGGGCTGCCAGTGCGGCCGCGGGGGGCGCGGGGGGGGGGGTTGAGGGGAGGGTGCCGGTGTAGACTGGGGTTCCGGAGGAGAGGGGGTGCAGCGGGGAGATGGTGAGCGGGGCGGTGGGGGTGCCGTCGGCGGTTGCGGTTGCGTGCGGGGGGAGGGTGGATATGAGGTGCGTGAGGCGCGTGTGGATGTCGTTGTAGAGCGTGAGTTCCTCGGCGGTGGGCGTGGCGGGCGTGTCGGGTGTTGTTGGTGCTGGGGGCGCAGGGGCAGCGGACGGGGTGCCGGTGGTTGTGATGCGCGGGGCGGGTAGGGTCGGTGCGGTGGAGAGGCGGATGTATTGGTGGCTCTGCAGCCGCTTCAGCAGGTTCGAGATCTCCTTGAGCGTCTCGTCGGCATTGACGCCCGCGACCTCCACGGCCTCGTCCTCCTCCTTCTTCTCCGCCGCGCCCTCCGCGCCCTCCAGCAGCCGGAAATCAGCCGGGACGTCCTCATCAGGCTCAAAGCTCTCCACAGCCTTCCTGAACTGCTCCTCCTCGTCGTCCACCGCCGCCTCCGCCATCTCGACATCCCCATCCGGCCTCTTCGCCTCCTCCCCCTCCTCCTCCTCCTCCTCCTCCTCCCTAAACATATGGCCCACGCCCGGATGGCCCTCAAACACCTCTCTAAACACCTCCCTCCCCACCCTCTCCCACCACACCCTTCCCCTGACCCCCGCCGGCACCTTCGCCCCCGCATCATCCCTCGCCGGCGCAAAGCTCGAGTACGCCGCCACCACCTCCGCCGGCAGCCCCATCCCCTGCCGCACCGGCTCCCCGCGCGCCAGCGCCCGCCACTTCGCCGTCCGCGGCGGATGGTTCCGATACAGCAGCCACTCGCCGGCCGGCTCCGCGCGCGCACTCGCGCCATTCACGACCGCAACCCCGCCAGGCCCCATCACACCCCCCCACTTGAGCCCCACGACGCCCACCGCACCGGCCTTCGGCGGCGCCAGCGAGCTGATCCTGACCGGCGGAAACGCCTCGCCCAGCGTCGGCACCTTCTCGGCCTCGGGCGCCTCGCGCTTCAGCGGGTTCGAGGCCGCCTTGACGGTGCTGATGAGCGGCGGCAGCGCGGCCTCGTTCAGCGGCGCCACCACGCGCACGACCTTTGTTGGCCCGTTCTTTGGCGACGCGCAGGTCGACGTGGGCGCCGTCGAGGCCGCGGGCGACTCGGAGGCCGACGAGGAGCGTGAGAGGCGCTCTGCGGCGAGGACGGGAACCTCAGTTGCGTTCTGCAGCGACGAGAACAAGGGCCCGTGGTGGGCCATGACCATCAACGCGAGTTTCTCGCGGTCGGCGGCCGCGGTGGCGGCCGGCGGGAGGTGCGCGCCAGTGAAGATGTCGGGGCGCCGGGCACACTCGCGCGTGACGAGCGTCTGCGCGAGGTCCTGGAAGGGGCGCGTGGGCGCGTCGAGGGCGCGGCAGACGGCGGCGATGTCGGTGAGGAGCGCGGCGGGCGTGGTGTAGGTTCCTGCTGCGAGGCGCTCGGCGATGGTGGGCGGGTGGGAGGAGAGCTTGGCGCGTTTGATGGGTGGGGTGCCGTCGGAGGAGGGGGGGGCGGCGGTGGTGTCGGCGGGGGGGATCGTGGTTGTGAGTACGGAGGGGTGGGTGTCGTGTCTGTCGGGGTTTCGTTTCGAGATCAGATCCCAATCCAATTCAATCCAATCCAATCCACGCGTATAGCACGCAAAAGGGAAAAAAAAAGGAAAAGAAAGAAAAAAGAAAAAAAGAAAAAAAACTCACTCCTTAAGCACCACCGCAAGGTCCTTCGTGATCTGGTCCCAGACCATTTTCCGCTTCTCGCCCGCAGCGTCTGCGGCAGCGTCTTCGGTGCCCTTCATTGCTGCGCTGCTGCTGCTGCTGCGCTTCCGTTTCTGCGATGTTGTAGGTTCTGCGGTAGGGGCGTTGACCATGGGGGGGTTGTGAACCGTAGTATTAGCAGTGGCCGTGGTGGTCGTGGGAGTTGCAGTGGTAGTAGTGGTAGTAGCAGTGGTGGCTGTCAAGTCTGGATGGAAGGGCACGGATTAGATTGCTTGCTTGCTTGCTTGCTTGATTGCTTGATTGCTTGAACAGGGCAGGGGGTGTCTGTCTGTCTGTCCCTGTGTAGAGAGAATGGATGGATGTGGATGGGGGTTCAAGAATTGGCCAAGCCAGGATTTGATTGATTGCTTGCTTGCTTGCTTGATTGATTGATTGAATGCACGAATGCAGCCAGACAGGGTACGGAGCAGCGGTAGTAGCAGAGAAAGCAGCAAGCAGAGATTCAACGTGTGTGGGGGGGGGCTTCAACACAAAAGAGGCTGGGCAGGAAAACATAAAAAAAGGTGGTTGGCCTCTCCTCTCCTCAAGCCAAACCAGCCAACAGCCAGACCAGCCAAACAGCCACAGCCAGACAGACCAGCCAGACAGACCAGACAGCCAAAAATAAAAAAAATAAGACAAAGACTCGAGAAAAAAAAAAACATCCTCATACCTGCCGCCATCACAATCTCTTTCTCTCTGATCTGTGGCGATTCAACACTACTCGGGGTTGCAGTTCCAGTTGTGGTTGCCACGCTCGGCGTGTTTGGGGGAGGGGGGGGGCCGGGGTTGTTTTTGCAAGAAAGTGCACACGCAGGGTACAGCTGTTTGGCTGGGTCGGGAAGGGGAAACACGGAGAGGGACGTTTCACGGTGGGTGGGTGGGTGGGTGGGTGAGGTGGAGACGCGCCGTGGCTGGCTTTCTTTCTGCGGGGGGTTCACTTGGCGATTGATTAGATGAGATGAGATTGGATGAGATTGGATGAGATTAGATTACATTGGAGTGATGGGTGCTGGATCTGAGATCTGCGATCTGGGGGCTTTATCAGATTGCACCCGACAGCCGAGTGATGCTCCCTGAAGCACACAAGCGACAGGCACCAAGACCGTGATACTCCGCCCCATTGCAGACTCTCCACTAGAACTGCTCTGTGAATACCCCCTCAAACCCCCCTCAATTCCCTCCCCCCAATCCCCCCTCAATTCCCTCCCCCCAATCCCCCCCCCCAAAAGCCGTGAATCGACATCCAAACCCTTCAATCGCTGACTAATCCCACCAAAACATCCCTGCCCCACCCACCCACCATTTTTCACCCCCCAATCCCCGCAACCCCCCGCCATTCAATGAATGTCACACTCCATCTTCAGCTCCGCACTGGGCCGAGCAATCCACCGCCGGCCCCCCAGCGCCCCGCTCCTGCTGCGCCTCAATTCCACCCTCCTCCTCCTCCACCACCGCCACCACCACGGCCCACGCCCGCGGCAATCTAGCCCTGCTGCACCCAACACTGCTGCTACGACCACCCCGATAGACACCACAACCACCACTCCCACCACCGCCACTCCTACATCTACAACCACAACGAACTACACCACAACCAGCGCCACAGACCCCCCATGGCCCCCGCGGCAGCGAAACCCTCCCGAGCACGCCGACGCCTGCCACCGCCGCCCCAAGACGCTCCTCGCACTACTGCACCTCCTCGACCGCGCCCACGACGTGCCGTCGCGGCCCAGCTCGGTCAAAGCGGACCTAACCTTCCACGACGCGCTCGCGCGGGGCGCTCGGCGGCGCACGCAGCCGCAGCAGACGACGGACTGGCGGCTGCGCAAAGGCCCAATCTGGTCGCGCGGCTGGCTGGGCAGCGTGTCGTTGAAGAGCATCACGTACGAGTACATGTACCACTTCCTGCTGCAGGGGCGGGACCTGGGGGACGTGGAGGCCGTGGAGAGGGTGTTTGGCGGGCGGGTGGTGGGCTATCTGCGGGAGCGCGGGTATGCGGTTGAGCATGTGGTGGTGTGGGCGTGGATCTTGATGGCGAGGGATGAGCGCCAGGCCGCGTTGCGGATCGATGTGTGGGCGAGACTGGGCGGCGCCGTGGGTGCAGAGGGCGGGGGGGAGGGCTTGAGGGACGCGATCAAGGAGATCATTGACTGCGACTCCTTCAACCCCCTGGACGCGGGTGGTGGTGGCCCGCCCCCGCAGGCACAAACACAGGCTATCACTCGGCCGTACCGCATCCCGCCCTTCATCCTCCTGCACAACCTGCGCCGCCCCCACACCCGCATCAGCGCCCCGACCCTGCGCCAGCTCCTCCCGCACGTGCAGCAAGCGCTCCTCTCGCCGCGCTCCGGCGACACCAAGACGCCCCTCCTCCTGCTGATCCGGCTCCTCCGCCACGCGCGCAGCTCGTGGCCGCCCGCAATCCCGCACGTCGCAGACCTCATGACGCAGCTGCACCCCGCCTCCCCGCGGCCCCCACGGCCCTCCGCCCGCCTCACCGCCACCTACAACCGCCTCCTCGCGCTGCTCTCCCTGCCGCCCAGCGACCGCCCCTTCCAGTGCATGCCGCTCCTGCAGCACTCGCAGTTCACGCTCCTCCGCAAGATGGCCACGCTCGACATCCCCATCACGCGCGAGGGCTACCGCGCCCTCATCGCCGTGCAGCTGGCCCACCCAAAGACGCCCGCCGAGGCGCAGCACGTCAACTCGCTGTCGACCAACTGGCCCCCCTGGCCCGTCCCCAAAGACGGCCACCGCCACTCGCCCGGCCACGCCTCGTCCGCGCCGCACCTCTCCCGCGCCGCGCAGGTGCTGCAGCAGATGGCCGCCGCGGGCTACCACAACCTCGGCTGGGAGAAGGAGGCGGCGGTGCTCGCGGGCACCGACACAGACTCGTCGCCCACGATCCAGACACGCACGTTCCACCACGCGGGCCGCGCCGGCACGCGCAAGGACCCGCTGAACATCTGGGCCGTGCGCATCCGCGCGACCCGCACGCTCGACGAGGCCTGGTGCGTGTTCCTCGAGTGCATGGCCGCCGTGGCCGTCCCGCCGCCGCCGGCCTGGGAGGAGCTGTTCTACAAGGTGTGTTCGGCGCGCAGGGTGGGGCGCCTGCTGGAGGGCCACCAGCGAAGGCTGCAGGCGATCAAGGCGGCGCATGACGCTGCGGGCCCGCCGACGAGGGAGACGCTGCAGGCGGTGGAGCAGTGGGGTGTGGTGGATGCGGACATGGCGGAGCGGGCAAAGAGGGTGCTGCCGGGGGATGCGAGGGAGGTGGCGGGGGTAGGCGCGGCGTCGCCGAGTGAGAGGGTGTATGTGCCCGTCAAGGCGCCGACGGTGGAGGAGCTGTTCGATATGATGAGGAGAGTGTGTGGGAAGAGGGCGAGGGTGTCGGTGAGGCTGCTGGCGTACCTGGTGAGGGAGGCGGAGACGCTGGAGCAGGGCGAGCGGCTGCTCACTACGTGGAGCGCTGAGCGGTTCCGGCGGTTGCTGAAAAGTATGCCCTCCCCCCCAGCCTCTTTTTTCCGAGTTGTTAACACCATCTAGCCTCCCCCCCCACCGGCACCCGCAGCGACGACTGGCCCATCCTCACCTCCTACCTCACGCTGCTCCTGCGCGCCCCCACCCCCCCGCGCCTCTCCCTCTCGCTGCGCCTCCTGCAGTCCCACACCCCCCGGCACCCCCCCGCATGGAACGCCGTCCTCGCCGCGCTCAGCACCACGCCCACCGCCCCGCTCGCCGCCAGCAGCATCGCCGCCGCGCGCCTGGCGCTCGTGTGGCGCCTGCACACGACCATGGCGGCGCACCGCATCCAGGCCGACAGCAACACGCTGCGGCTGCTGTGCGTGGCGGCGGCGCGGTGTCCGGCGGGACTGGCGTGGGGCGGGCAGGACCCGGTTGATGCTGCGGCGGGCGTTGTGGAGCGCGCGTTTGGGATTGGCGGGGGGGGAGGGGAGGGGGTGCCGTTGCTGGCGGCGGAGGCGGCGGCGCTGCATGCGTATGTGCGCATGCTGGGGTTTGCGGGGAGGAGGGAGAGGTTGGAGGTGTTGGTGGGGTGGGTGAGGGGGAGGGTGGATGTGGGGTCTGTTGCGGGGAGGAGGGTGGTTGTTGCTTGTGCTGTTTTTGGGGTTGAGGGTGGGGGGGAGGGGGGGGAGTGGCCGGGTGGGTGGCCGGGGGAGGAGGAGGTGGAGAGGTATGTTGTTAGAGGGTGGAGGGGGGTTGTGGAGAGGGGTGAGAGCGAGGTGGAGGAGGTGGAGGGGGCGAAGGAGGTGAAGGATGAAGAGGGGGTGGAGGGGGTGGAGGTGTAGTCTAGGTAGCTGTATAGTAGATAGAAATTAGATTTATAGATGTATATAGTAAGTCCTCTTAGAGGATAACTCGCGGTCATTGGATGTATTTTTTCTTTTTTTTCGTATTGGATAGAGATAGCTAGTCGCTGACCGCTGACATCCCGACCAACCTCACAGTTCTGCGCAATTTCAAGTCGATATCTGCCCCTCTAGCTCTTACGGGTCACTTGGATTCTGACACGACGAGCTTCTCCCTCTATTCTCAGTCGGTAATTCCATAATTGAAGCTGAGCTACTACGCATAACCTCTCGTCGCATGCTGTTTCAGGATAGTCGATGTGGAATGGACCGAGTGATAGTTTATGATCTTTGTACTTTGTAGTTTTTTTTTTTTTTTTTAATTCATTCATTGCATTTACACTTTGTAGAGCGACTGACGGACACGAGCAAAATCGTTAAAAGGCACGTACGCGGACTTATAATAAGCTTCCTGGATCACCGCTTTCAGACAGCTGTCGATAAGAGGCATTCTGGTATATGATTTTGTTTTCTTCGTTGTTGGATTAATTAATCCAAGTATTTGATAGATTCGTAAACTATGGGCCATAGTATAGGCTGTAAGGTTTATACTTAAAAACTACATGTATTTGATCCCCACATTATGCATGCGCATGTGTTGGAATCTCTTTGGAGCTCCCAGGCATACTATGTTGTAGGCATTCCTGTTTCATCCATGTTGTTGTGAGTATGCGAGGTGAAGCCTAAGCTAAAGCAAAAGCACCGTTAGATACATGTATGCAATAGCGATTCTATGCCCTGTCGGTCAGGCATCCATATCCGGGGGCAGACAAGAAGAATCTGAACATAAGATACGCAAAAAAAAAAAAAAAAAACCAGGGATTAAATTCAAATTAGGAACTCTTACCACCAAAAAAAAAAAAAAACTGATGTTCAATTCCTTCCATATTTACCCGAGTATAAAGCCCAAAACCGTGGTCGCCGTACCAACAACCAGCCAGGTCGGCCCATAGAATCATCATGAGGCCATAGATACCAGCCTTTATAAGCCGAGAAGCCCTCTATATCCACAACATAACTGTTCCCCCCCACAGCCTTAAAACAAAATGCTAAACTCACACTCCCATAATATGGGCATCACACCCACCACACCCCTTCTAAGCCCTTACTCAAAGGGCCATGCCAGCGTCCCATTCCTATCTCGCCGCGATGACGGCTTCCTACTCAGCTATGTCCCGGGCGGCAACGCAATGCATCTCTTCCTCCAAATGCTGCGGCGCTACTGCTATAACCTCGACCACTACATGGCGCGGTGGTTCAGGCTGGTAAACACAAGCCCCTTTCCGTTTGACCACACCCGGTACATGCAGCAGATTCTGCTGCCGAGGCTGAGGGTGCTGGTGAAGACATTTGAAGTGGCGACAGTCGACTTCAACACGCGCGAGGTGGTGCAGACGAGGGATATGGAGAGGTGGTTCAAGATGGTGAGGACTGATGTGGAGTGGTTTAGGAAGGAGGGATTGGTGAAGGATAAGGGAGAGAGGAGTGATATGATACAGCTGGGGATATGCATGGAATGTGGGATGCATTGGGAGGGTATGGCCATGGGTAGGTGATGTATTTTGGAGGTGTTCTTGTTTTATGTCTTTTTGTAACCAGATAAAAGAAAATAGGATGGAATAACTTTCACTCGTGCCTTTGTATATCCCCCATTACCACCACACGTATAAGCTACAGTGTTTCTTTCTCGACCGATGATATTCATACATGTAGCTATCGCCATGACGTTTGGACACTCTGGCCAGAGAATATACTACATGCCCATTAACAATTGAAGTTGGCAGTAATTAAAGCTTTCCCAGATGTGATTGTTCTTACTAGATGACTAGGTGCTCAACGAAGAGTATAAAAAGGTGTCTGCAGTTCCACTCTCCGGCTCCGCCACGCATACCCTAGCTACATAAGTCGAGTCCATTTTCAATTCCGAGGGGTTCCCCACCAGTAGCGTATGTTTTTTCTTTCTTTTCTGCATATTATAGAACCACATGTAATGAGTCAAATATCGAGTGTGTGTAGGAGGTGTTTCGACGGAAGTATCATTGATGATGATCGATCAGAGTGAATTTCCTTCAATACTTTACGAGCCCCCCCCTTGGCGTCATACTAATACCACATCTTCGCCCACGACATGCTTAACCTCTATTGTACGCGTAACTGTAACCATACAACAGCTCCCTCCAGTGCATAGTTGAAGCGAGTGATATTCTGTGTTTGTGAATCGTAGCATAGGTACGTGTAGTGAATCATAATTACGTGCCAGCTCTCGTTTCTGAAACATGTACATAGCTCGTTTAACAATTAATACACAGGTACCAGATTATATTTTGGTCTTGTGGCAGGAACGATGATGCATGACACCGTATTAATAGTACACGGTGCCATCTTCCACCAAAACCTATCTAGATAACTGTCTCGCATATTTGAATATATTTCACACATCACAAGGGTTGAGCTCCTAAAATCCACTCACGACATCGCGAGGCGCTACTGTGCAATCTGGGTCTGAAAGTACTGTGAGATGCAGAACCTACTACTACAAGAATCATTTCCAGTCTGACATATACGCGTTTCGTGCAGATGCCATACCGGGGATGTTATGACCTCCAAAAGTTACATATCCCGCGCGCGCGAAACCATCAATAATATTACCGCTCCCAATCCAGAGTAATACAGACGTACAAGTGTACAAACGTACAAGCCGAAATAAAAAAAAAGGAAAAGAAAAAAAAAATAGAAACTCCAAGACAAGGTTTTTATCTGATACCAAAACAAAAAAAAAAGGTAGAAAATAAAAAAAAAGATGGAGCAGAAAAGAAGTTATAACCCACAACAAGACAACCTATTTACTTTTTCACGCCTGAACTCTTTAAAACTGACAATCTGGGGGTGCATAGAAAGAAAAAAAGAAGAGCGTAACAAGATTAATAGAAGATGGAAGATAGAAATACACAATGAATCTATGAGTCTTGCAAGAATCCCACCTTTCTTTTCCCCTTTGAGCTGCTCCCTGGTACCGGATTTGCCTTTGGCAAAATAGCACGCCTGTTCGACGCTGCGCCTGTCGCAGTAGCTACTGCTGCCGCCAGTGTCTTTGAATCTTTGATCGCGGCCGCCGCACTCGACTCCTTAACATCCATGATGACAATTCTACAGCTTGTACCCAGCAATATCCGCGCAACGTTCCCCTCGGGTGTGCTCACACTATCGCCATCCCACTCACCGTCCTTTGTACGGCCAGGTGGAATGACGTCGACACCGGTGACGGTAGCACCGCCGCAGTTCCACCCCTCTAGCACAATGAACTCCTTCTCCGCTTTACCGTCCTCCCCATTCCAGAGCCCCATCCCGAGTGTGCCGGACTTGTGGGAGCGCTTCTGCATTTTGGCCTCTTCGACTTTCCAGAATTTCTTCAAAGACGGGATCACCATGACTACGCTGCCAAACACGAATGTGACCGTCTCATCGTTGATTTGAAGACCGCCCATCGCTGTTGTCTTCCCCTTGTCCAACACGGCAGTGCTGGAAAAGAAGCTACTTCCTGGAATCGCAGTGACAGAGAGGAACCCTATACCCCCAGTCATATCTCTTGCACTGCTCCCACGGCGCCTACGAGTCGTAGTACCGGTTCCGCCAGATATAACGCTCATCGCACGGTTGGATGGGCTTCGGCCGCTAATTTCGCTGACGGGCTCGTCGTAATGGTTGGAGGAATGAGATTTACGGTTGTTGTACCAGGTTTCGCCGACAACACCCCCAATGAAGAAGCCGGTCACGGATGCTTCGTCGAGCTTTGAGAGAACGCCTTCAAGGTCCCAAACACCCCATTCTCCATCTTCGCAGAGAACGATGATGCCGCGACCTCCGGTAAGCCATTCGGCGCCAAGGACCTTTTTTCGGCGGTCCGAGGTGCGTGAGAAGGAAGTATAGAAGCTGCTGAGCCAGGATTTCGTGCGTGTGTCGAGAATTCTTACCGCACCTTTACGATCGGCGACCAGGAGGTGTTGACGGCGTGACTTTGACGTAGGAGAGGTGTTAAACGAGAGAGAGGTCGCCGGGGCGTGGAGGAATACAGTGATGGGCCTGGAGGGCGTTTTGAAAGTCACTGGGAGCGAGGATTTGCGTGGCGGGGGATGAAGTGATATGCGCCAAAGTAGGATCAGGCCGTTTGTATCTGCAGAAGACGAGGCAATCAAGATATCCCAGGCATCGGAGTTACCGAACCGGGGTGGACTATAAGAACCAGGGGATCCGCTAGGGGTTCGTCTTTCTGAATTCTCGTGCGAGAAGGAGCTGTTGGCAGACGGAACAATAGTGACAGATACTGCACTTGGTACTTCTTTGTGGCCATAGATTCCGGTTCCAAGGACAATGACATGCTCTCGCTTTTTCGTAGACTGGCTTGATGATGGGGCTGCTCGTGGGAGAGTTATCAGCCGGATAGACCGGTCAGCGCATGTAGCCACTATCAAGAAATTCTTCTGGAGGAGATCATTCGGGAGTCTGCTCATCGAGTCTTCTTCATCATCATCACCCACACCCCGCGAGGCCTCCAAATCTGAAGGTAGGATAGAAGCCGGCGGAAATGAGATATGGTGAACTGGTGTCCCAAGATGAACTGTGTATGAACATGCAAACTGTTCCTCATCCGCCGACTCCGGCTGTTCTTCTGTCTCGGCGCCGTTGATCGCGTTCTTCTTTGACGACGGACCGTCAAGAATCATCATGTCATCACCATCATCGTCACGCGCAATAGCCTTCTGTTTCCCTGAAGACGCGTCCTTCGATGGCTTCTTCGAGACCCCCTTAGCGCGCCACAAAACAGTGAGCCCGGACTCATGGGCGCATATCAGGACCTCAGAGACTGTTGTTGGGCGGGATTGTAGAGAGCGAGGGTAAAACTGTGAAGTGTAGATGTGAGAATGTGGGAGATCGTAGGTGAGCTGCGAGAAAGCTGAGAATGAAGTATCTTTTGATGAGAGGCGAGCTGTTTTCGGGGCCATGATGATGATGGCTGATGCGATAGTGTCTGATGTCTACGGGGGGGGGCTCGTCAAAAGGAATGATGAAGTTATTCGAGGTTTACGCGATGGATAACAGAAGCAATGATCATCCACCCGGCTTGGCGCGTTTGGTCGGTTTGGCGATGAGGATGCAACGTTACCTCATAGGTGACCCCAGGCCCCAGCTAACCAACGCCTACCTTGAGAAACAAACTAAACAAAACAAACTCTACGCAGATATATATAGACCTTGAGCTCACAAACATCAATTAGTCAATTGCAACGGATTGTATGAGTATACATGTATTCTCTCTGGTTCTACACGATCTACCAAAAAATCCTACATAAGTTTGTTCCGGCTTGTACGTGTATGATATATACGAGGCTTAACTAAGTACCACAAGCTGGCAAATTAAAGTATCTTCCTTCACGATCTAGATATCAATAGGTTTTTGTTGTATATGTATAATGTAGCTTTTTAAGTTTATGTAAACTGCATGTATCCTTCCGAAAATGCTCTTGATGTTACACGGCCACCGAGTGGCGGAGCACCTGGAAAAGCTTATGTCGTGTTCCTTGTTTAGCTTCCTGAGCGTGTGGGTACAAGTGCCTCATGTACCGATCTCACAAGACGCAAGGACCGTACTCACGTACCTATGGGCTTAGATCCGAGTGATGCCTTGTGATTCATTATGATAAATGTCTTGTGTCATAGATCCAAGATTTTTAGTGTATGATAAACGTGTCTACTCGATCGAGAGTTGAGAAATACCCAAGGTCTACAGGTTGGTACTCTAGCTAGTACCGATCGCTGCTAGATCTAATATACAGTTCTACCTACCCTTCCCAGAATTAATACGGCCAGGGTTGCTCTGCCAAGGCCTGCAGAGCCGCAGTTTCACACAGACATGGACCTACGAATGTTTCAGCATCACGCGTCTCCCCACCAGGAGTCCAGAACATCCCCCGCCTGATGTTCCAAAACCCCAAACAGATATCACGATTCCCAAAAAGCGTTCAATCCGATGTCCCGGATATCGTCCCTTGGTCTGCACACTCCTGCAGCTCTCCCGTACTGTATAACCGAGTCATTATTACCTGATCCCCCACCTCCAAACTCCTACAGATTCACCACAGGTTTACCACACGAAGAGCTCCTAGTCACTGGATCTGCTGTAATATGGTCCCAAGGCGGCGTGATTCGTCGTGTGTTTCGCTATGACGTTGAAAAGGAGCCAGTACAGCAAGCCGTGCTCACTTGGTTCTCCTCCGATGACCCCCAGGATGCAATTCACCATGCACATGGTAGCTCATCTCCAGATGAGGATGGCGAGGGAAAATATATCAACGGCCCCGAGGGAAACAAGAGGAAAAATCAGGACATGCCGGGTGGAGGTAGCTCGAAGAAAAGGGTCAGCACCTGGAATTCAAAGAGCAGGACGTATGCTGCACAATTGGGAAGCTTCCCTAAAGCTCATGGTACCGTCGGAGGGGGCGGGGGAATGGTTTCTACAACAGGCGATATCGATGACGAAGACTTTATACCAGGGAAGGTC